GGGGGACTTAAAGGAATATTTAAGCTCCCTTTAGGATAAAGGGGCCCCCAGATATCAACGGTCCCCAGGGAAATGAGTACAGGGTACAGTAGCACCCCTTAGCTTTTCTCAAAAGTTTGAAAGCAAATAAATACTCCCACTCCATAACAAAGTATTTTTATAGAAATACCCTCCCCCCAAAAAATCACTTCATCCTAGAGATGTAAATCCAGTGTCAATTATAATGACCCACCAATTAATTACGTTTTACATGACCCACCACAATGTTACCCCGCTGCACTACTGACGTTAATGATGGGATATCCAGCACTGCTGGAATTTAAACCACACCTGGATGATGTTATTGACCAAATATGTTCATGGCCATGCTTGATCAATGATGTTGCCTGTGATCTCTAGCTGCTTTGTTTAAAGTTAGCTTTTAGGGATCCAGGTGGGCAAACGGGCTAGGTTTGGGTTGAACTCATGTTCGACCCAAAACCCAAAAGTTCATACCTAGTGCTGGACAGGTTTGAATTGCGCCTGTGTAGAATGCTGGTTTACAGATTGGCAACAAAAACATTCAGGAACAGCAAGAGCAATTGTAGTCAGAGGCAGTAGGATTCGGCAACAACCGGGCAGCAGAGGTACCAATTTGGCAAGCAGAAGGTGATATGAGGACACAAGCCAAGGTCAGCAGTGGGAGATACAGGTACAATGGAGTCAGGAGGCAAGCCGGGTCAAACACAGGGTAGCAGAAGCGCAGGTAAGGTCATGGGTCAAAGAAGCTGACGACTACCCAACAATTTTCCTAGGTTGTGCTGAGCTTTAAATAGGGCAATTGGCACCTAAGCCAGTACCAGACGAGCACTCTCATTTACTCTCATGCACTCTCATGCACATATGTGCATTAAGCCGTGACCCTGAACATTGGACCACATACTGCAATATGTACAGGCACGGTCATGCATCCAACCTTCTTAACACACCCTCTTCAGCAACCTTTGTCATTCATGTTCTAGTTATCTATCATACTTTGAATGCAGATATTTCACCATTCAGACATCGGTCAGGTCTGCAGTCACTGACACTGACATTATATAGCTAATTACTCCCAATTCAGACCTGCAATGACAGATTCTGGCAACAGAATTGTTCCAGCACTGACTTTGACTGAATGCTAAGTGCCACAAAGCAAACTGATGCTTAAAGATGTAGCACCTACCTTTTAATATTCCCACAAATGACTTCTGCACCATGGCACACTTTGATGGAAAATAAACTTTCTTTAGGCTTCAGAAATGCATCTATATCATGAAAGGGCAACATGAATGGGCCACTTGGTTATGTTTGTTTCTCACACTAAAAGTTCCCATTCTTCCCTTGGAACCCTTGCTCTAAGATAAAATCAATCCATCTCTCCATACCTAGAGATCCAGTTCATTGTCCCATCATCAGCTTTTATGCCTCCCATTAGTTTCCATTCATGTTTACTCCAAAATTATAAAATAAATTTAAAAAACCATACACAAGTAAAAGCCCTACACACATTATAATTTTTTTTCCTGTGATTAATGGATTCTTTGTATCTCTTTGTAAACATGATTTGATCAACTTTCCTGGCATCAAATGAAAGGGAATGAACTGGATCAGATAAAAATGTTTAGGGTTCTTAATGGAGTTTTAGCATATGTGGCACACCAAACTTTTTCCATTCAATGTTTTATAATATGCAGAAAAGTTGTAAATTACATGGACAATGTTTGCAGTTATGATCATAATCAAATGAAATTGAAAGGAACGTGTAGCAATTCAAATTAAATACTTTCAAATGACACAAAGAAATCAATTCAAAAGGTAAAACTGTGGATGGAAATCTTAAAGTGTCCACTTTTGCATGTCAAATTTGAGAAAACCCCTCCATACGTTTGTTATGTGTTACCATTTACACAGCATGGTGAAAAATGTTTTTTTTTTAAATATTTCTCACCTTTTAGATGTTTTGTTGCAGCAGACAACATGGCTGAATTCATTTTTTCTGAGCACCTTTGCAGTGATCAGTTCTTATAGACAGACTTAAGACAGAAATGTGTGGACTGTGTTTCTTTCATTAACCTTATCAACATACAATGCAGAAGCCAGGATTTTAATCTTCTAACCAGGGGCAGACTGACCATACGGGCATTCGGGCACGGCCCGAGGGCCCGCGGCCACTAGGGGGGCCCGTGGCCTCACCCCCTCCAATAGTTTTTAGATTGCTCACTGGGCCCGGAGAAGACTACGGCTTATCTCCTGCACCAAACTCTCCCTGGTCGGCCGAGCGTCCCGTTGCTGTCATCCAGATGGCCAAGGTGAACCTCCCCGAGATAGTGCCACTCCATCCCCCTGCCAGCGCTCTGCCACCCGCAGTGGTAGGACAGCTGCATGTTCGGGCGGCTGTGCGGGGACGGAGAGGCTGTGACAGTCAGGTCTGTGCAGCCTGGCGGACCCGCTACAGAGAAGCCTAAAAGGCTCCATTCACATATAGGGTTTGCGTTTCCCACTTGGTCTTCCGCACGGGACGCAAACGCTATATGTGAAACAACTGCATGATTCCGCACGATTGTGGCCATTATATGGCCACGAACGCACGGAATCTGCCGGATTAATGCACTAGCACTATTTTGGCAGCCACTTGGTTTCTGCAATAGTCTGAAGAATGCACATTAAAGTGCATTATTTTTCTGCTTAGTGCGGCTCCGCACATATTCGTACAGCTGACTATTCACGGACAGCCGCCCGTGCATAGTCACAGCTCCATTCATGCTGGAGCGTCTGTCTGCGCGTATTCGGCTGTATGAATATGCGCGGAGCCAAACTTAACAGAAAAAACAATGCACTTTAATGTGCATTGTTCAGACTATTGCGGGGGGGTTGGGGGTGGGGCTTGTATATGGGCGGAGCACAAGGGGGCCCCATAATCTTGTATTGCCCGGGGGGGCCCCATGTGTTGTCAGTCCGCCCCTGCCTCTAACCCTTCATTAGGATAGGGAGTGTTCAAATCTAGAAATTATAATAAAATGAGCAAGCTCAGTACAGGCAGGGTTAAGAAACCCCTCACCCCGCACAACCCCTACTAACATTACAAAGAAGCTAGTAGAAATTTTAATCCCTGAGAAGCTAAGAAATAACCCAAGTAAAAGCAATTTAAACTCCAAGCATTTTTTTAATCACAGTATTGGCTATGAAAGTGGAAATAAAATGGTAATTTCAATTTATATTATGAAATGTTACTCTCCTTAATTTTACTTGTATAGTTTATATAATCAGATGTTTATAAATCTTACCTCCAACATCAATATCTACTTTGTAATTGATAAAGTGCGTGTGAAGGGTTCCCAATGTATATTCACCAACCCTTGAGCCATAGTCTTTACCATCACCAAAGTAGAATGAGGAACTGATATATCCAGTGGCATATATCTTGGCTTCAATAACTCCATTTTGATAAAATATGAAATCCCATACATAATCATAATTAATAAGAGTTGACACAGCTCGGATAATTAAAACGCTGCTGCTCAGTCCGCCATAATACATAGAGTGCATATTGGAATAGTGTCGACGAAGAGGCATCCCAGTATTATGTTCAAAAATGCATATGGAATTTTCGTTTGTTTCAGGAGTCTCAGATTCCATTAGATAGTGAGTGTTAACATAAGTAGCCAGATAAGGACAATCAATACCCCTTACCAACTCAAAGGAGAACCTTCCAATACCAAAACTTCCATCAAGGTATCTTGTGATCATTCCACCCGGTGCATTAGAGCCGTAGACTGCAATTGCCTCTTGAGTACTAATTTCATAAACAATGCGTTCATTGTTAAATTTGATGTCAAAAAGACGTAGACCAGTATTTACATTTAGACCAAAAGAAAAGTCCCAAGACTGGAAGGTTACTCGGTTGTCTTTAACAGTATAACGTTTGCCAATTGGGTCAAACTGTAAAGGTGCTCCAGGTGTAGGATGTGTTTTAGGCTTCATAGAGCCAATGTCATTTTCTGGAGTTACATTTTTAATCTTAACCACTTGAACTTCTCCAGCATTGTACTGTTTCTCCAAATCATCCATGTTAGAGAAGTAAACACCATTGTAAAAGGCTTTGGTGACTTTCCATTTGGTGACATCCAGACTTTTATGGTCAAGAAGAATTTCAAGTCCAACTGGATGGACAGAAAAACAACTTTCTTTCACTTTAAGAAACATGACAAACCATGTACTTCTGTCACCAGATTTGAAGCCCCTTGGGACGGTTGTTAGAGCTGCAAAATTGTCTCCATCATAGCCAAGAGCTCGTAAAAAATTAGAAGCTTTGGAAAACTCGCTTTTATAAACCATACTGTAAGCATCAACATACTCTTTTCCAATAACAGGTCGACGATAGTAAGGCAGCTTCTCTTTGTATTTCTCCAACGTAATATCCTTGTGATAAGATGGGTTTGGAAGAGGACCTACTACATATTCTGTAATGTTGGGTTCTTCTTGATCGCCAAAGAAAACCACAGCAAGTGCCTCCCGGTTAGGCTTTTCAGCTCCATAATCTAAGTATTCTAGGACTTTCTGCTTTGGAGGATATTTAACATCGATGTAGTAGATACAATTTTCGGTAGGCTTTGCAATGTCTGCACTGACCAAGTTCTTACCAAGATTTTTCTTTAAGTAGTTAACTGTTGCAGAAAACTCTTCCGGATTCAGGTCTGAAAAGATTAAGTTTTGGTTGCTTGCCTCTTTCTTCTGTGCAGCACTGGGATTGGTATCGCCATGATACTGTGATTGAGTATCACAGCTTTGACTTGATTTTCCTGTTCCTGACAGTAAAACAGCAACCAGCGCCAATATAGTGGCCAATGAGAGGACCAGGAGAATGATGACAACCTTCATGTTCATGATGGCAAAGATTGAATGTTTCAAGAGGATGAAAAAGCCTTTACAAGTTCTCAGAGTGAAAATGTTGCTAAAAGAATTAGAGGATTTCTGAAAACAGCAGATGATCATATTAAATCAGGCTTCGTTCCCAGTAGGACGAGGATACGATATATGATTCTAATTGAAAGCATTCTCGGAAACTATTTTGGCAGAAAATATAAAACATTTTTTATTCCAACCTTCTGCAAAGAACTGTTTTGCACAAGTAAGGAATCCACTGAATTCATTCATTTCCCAATGTATAACCTAAGTTTATATGAAAGTATTTTGATACTTTTAATAGAATAGAATAAAGTAGGAGCCTATTTTACTCACAAAAGCATAATTATATGAAACCATAAACTTAAAGAACAACTGCAGGAATAAAAAAATAATTGAACCTTGCAGTGAGGCTGCCCACGCACATCAAATTGATATTTTTATTTTAAAAAAAACCCACTAAAATGATTTTTAGTGCAAACAAATAATTGTTTATGTACACTTGTATGCAAGCGTGTTTTTTTGCATGCAGATAGAGGGGGCATACTTTTTTAACACGAACAGGGTTATTTACAAGAGTGTGAAGCGTTAGGAGAAGGCAGGAGAAGTGAACGATCTAAGACAACGTAAAAAAAAGTAAGGTGCTGGATGGGTGATGGGGAGGTAGAGGGTGTTACGTTTTGCCTGGAGCTCCCTTCCCTGCAAGATATCAGGACCAGTACTCAGGGGACCCTCTGATTCTGCAGGAAATGAAAGCCTTCAAACATCAAGGAGCGGCATCAATTGTAAGTGATTCAATCAGCATTTCAAATAGCTTAAAAACCTTTTGACTTTAATACCACTTCAACCTCTCACCTAATTATATGTAATGAAGAGCCTAAAAGAGCTGTAGATGTGCCTTCATCAGGTAGTCCCAAACGGTCCCCTGGCATTGACACCGCCCCTGAAACTCCTTTTTTGAATTCTGAGTGGTCCCCAGAGTTGTAAAGCCAATAAAAAGTGTCCAAGTCATTCAGACAAGGATGAGATCACCTGAAGAAGAACTCCACCTCCAGAAGAAGAGAGAAGACTCCTGCCTGGAACTTCATGTGGTCTCAGATTTAGGTGAATAAAATGAGCAATTAGGTAGTTTTAGGGGTGATTAAAGGAGGTGGGGGGAGATGGTGAGGAGTGGTGGAGGTAGAGCCCAGAGATCAGTTTCAACATTTTTTTTAATGTTATATACTTTTAAACTGGTGTTCATCTCTGATGTTGTTTCCTTTCAGTTACTAGCACATGTTGCAAACAAGAAATCAGTTTACAATTCCAGCAAAAATAAAATGTTGCTTTCATTGGCTGTTAAAGCTCGACTGCTCTCTGATTCTCTCAGGAGACAAAGTAACCTTTTCTTAAGCACGTATTTCCTCATAGTTTACTAAACGCACCACTCCTCTAATGTCAAAAGAGCCCCTTAGTACAGATACAGATCCTGAAATTAGATTTTTCCAAGAATCCACTCATACGATATATTTTACTAAATGTATATGTCCAAGAATCTTTGAATCTTACAGCCAGAACTTTCCAAACAGTACACATATGTTCATCACTCATGTTTCTCATTTGGAACCTATCTCTTTTTATCTGTAAAGAATAAGTCTGGGCAACTGGAATTGCTGTGTTTTTCTTCTTGAAGACGTTTCACTGGTCATCCAACCAGCTTTCTCAATTCAGAATGACTTGTACAAAAATTATCTGGGAATACATATGGTGAATGTTGCTCCAATCCACATATTCTGTTAGTCGCAACTAGGTGTTGATAGCATTTGCATAATTGGAGCTAGGAGATGTTAATAACCTGCCCCGAGAGAGGTGCTGCCAACAGCATTGTATGTGGCAGACAATAGATGTCTCACCCCCACCACCACCTCTATTCAAGCTTGGCTTCTCCATTTTTTACAAAAATGGCCTCTTTCACGCCTCTTTTTTTAATGTAATCTTTATTTCAATTTTTTTTGCTAGTATAAAGGAAAAATAGTGGTGAAAAAAAATCACGTGTGGGTTTGACCAATCATTTTTTATATATCAATTCTTCCTGATCTGCGTAACTCGGGATGTGGCCGGGGTGTGTCCTTTGCCTATATACTTTATATTGAATAGTGCCCCTCTTTCTTATTTTAGAAAGTTGTGAGTTATGTATCTTTTAATACTTGGTTATCAGGTTCCCACTGTAAAAGTTCAAACTACTACTATGTGCACTAATAAGAATTGGCAGTTCATGATTGCAATTTAGCAATTATAACATTATTTTAAAAATTATTTTAATTTTAGCATTCTAAGGGCTCAATTCACAAAGTTTAACACAGGATGTTTACTTAAGGATGTTTATTTTTAGCCATGCAACTGCAATTTTGGAATCTCATTAGATTAAATATTTTTTCTAAAAATAAGAATCTGCGTGTTTGCATATTAGTTTTGAGGACTGAGCCTGAAAGCAGAACTCTAGACAAATATTAAATACACAAATCAGAGGGCGTGTGCTCAACATGGCAGCCTGAGGAGTGTTTCTCAGGAGGTCCAGGGTTTTACCATACAAAACATATGACAATCTGCACTTATACCTGTCTCTTTCCCTTAAAAACAGTATGCCCAAACACTGAAAGCAAAGGGCAAGTCACGCTACCAAGTCTGACACCAACATTGTGCAGGTCTTTCTCCTCTGCAACCTTTGCTACCCCTTGCCAGGGAACAGCCAATTTGGCACCCACTCTATCCACACAAGGACTCGCTTTTCAGTGCCGCAGATATCCCTTACTGGCCTTAAAGGAGAACTATGAGGTGACTATTTTTCACTCACCTCATAGTTCTAGCCAACCTGTGACAATGAGACTGTCACAGGTCGGCTCAGTAGATCGGGAAGTGAGCAAACACATACCGGCGTTCACTCACCTCTCGATCCTGTCACAGCTCTCTGCCGTGACAGGGGAGGGGCTGGATTCCCCCCTCCCCTGTCACTCACGCAGCTGGGCGGATACAGACATAATTGTCGGGATCCGCTTCAGCTGTGGCATCTCAGTATACCGCGAGCAGTAGCTTGCGGTATACTGTGGCGTCTCAGTATACCGCGAGCAGTAGCTTGCGGTATACTGAGCCTAAGGTGACGGGAGGATGCTAGTTTGTGTCCTCCCGTTACCCTAAGGAGAACTATGGGGAAAAGCCTTAACCCCATAGTTCTCCTTTAAGTGACTCTCACCTGGGATTACACTCTTTACCATCCTATGACTCCAACTCCATTGATATGTCCCTGTATAACATCCCTGAACTCTTGGCCTATGTACTGGTGGAGTTATGGGCTTTGTTTGAATAATTACCATTCAAAGTAGATTTCATGAGGTTGGTCTCGAGAGTGGAAACAGCCTTGCAGAAAAACAAACATTCATAGGCTGTGGCAGAGGAATTGCCTTTAGAACTGCATGAGGTTTCCCAGTCTTATTTCACCTTGGATACTTATGTATGATCCCTGGAGAGAGATGCTTCCACATCTTACCAAGATCCAACTGCAATCAGAGGATTTTGCAAACAGGAGCAGAATGAAAAGCCTGGATAAAAGGCTTTCCTGGGGCCATATCAGATCTCCACCTCAAAGAGACTGGCCTAGCTATTTTCAGTCAAATGCTAGAGGATACCAACCCATCCGTTATCATCCTAGAAAGAGTCCACAGCACCGTGGGGCAGAAATCCAATAATCAGTCCCTGTGGCATTTTCTGCAGGGTCCATTTCTTTCGGATGAAATGAGGAAATAAGAGATCCCTTGTAAGGCCTATCAGAGATGTCAGATTGAGTTTGACAGGGCCATCCTGTAAATCATGCCTGATTTTTCAAGAAATACCCTCAGAAGATGGACTAATGTGCCTTTTATTGGACAAAATGTGACAGTCCAGGGCTACATTCAGGTGGGGGACTTCCAACTTAAGGTGCACAAGAACTTCTCCTTGCCCATCAACCACTACTGACACTCCGGTGTCTGTGTGACACCTTGGGCATAGAACTGGTTCCAGTCAAGAACTGGCTCTGTCATCTTTCAAAGAGACCTGCTAGCTTACAGGCAAAGATGTCTCCCAAGAACTCACCCTCTTACGATTCAATGTCGTCACCAAACCTCAACAAGATATTGAATCATGATGGTCCACGTCTTCCACCTTTCTTTGTAGAAATAAAGAACACATTTTCCTGTCTGATAATCACATGTCTTTTGGTTTCCCTTGCAATTAATGCATGGACCTGGTGTGAAAAAGCCCTCCAGGAGGCACAGCTGTTGCCTATTTTGTTACCTGGAGGTACTCCATTGCAGTACTAGCTATTTTAAAGATGCCTGCTGATCGCCAAAACCCTCTCTAATGCTGGCTCCTCACACCTTTCCCTTTTTTTGCAGTTTAAGAAAACTCTGCCACCAAAGACCTTACTATTACCTCCATCGAGGTGGGAACCCGGGTGGAGGAGATGTCATATCTTCTTTGGAAGGCTTCCAGATCCTTGATGCCTCCTTGGCAGTGGCGGACCTAAGGAACAAAGGGCCCTGGTGCAAGATTTTATCTTGGGCTCCCCCCTTCCAGCTCCCAAGGGGGGGCTGGGAGCAGATCTCACTGGTCCCCAACCCCCCTCTGGTGGTCTCTGAAACAGAGGAGCTTACACTCTAATGTCCCCCCACAGTTTCACACTATTATTATACATTTATATAGCTATAGGTATTTATATACCGCAGTGCTGCACAGAGAACACTGAGCCAGTCACATTAGTTTCTGTACAGAGGAGCTAACACTCTAATGCAGAATGGCACTGGCTGTATGGGGACTACAAATACCAGCAATACATGATACAGCAATTCAAAACAGTATATGAATTGGACTCAGGACTTTGCAATGCACTGGACTCTGGACTTGAGAACGCACTGGATTCGGGACCCACCTAAAACGCTGCATAGCCCACTCTCAAAGCTGGTCATCCAACCAGCTTTCTCAATTCTGAATTGAGAAAGCTAGTTGGATGACCAGTGAAACGTCT